CAAGTCAGTTTGCATTGCAAGGTCAGAGTGTCAAACTCACCACCTAACCTCAGACACCTTATTATACAAGGCCATTAAGGCACGGAACCAACTTGATGTTACTTAAGAAGAAGAACAACAGAGATTGCTCCTTCTGGTAGAGGGGTTTCTTCTGTATGGACTTTCCTGTGAGGATTTTGAATTTCTGCTCTTTTATCTGGTTTATAAGAAACAAAGTGTGATTAAGCCAAAGTATGTATAGAAATGTGCTTATGGAGAGAAAATGTGATGCTCGATAAAGATAGATTTATAGCTTTTCTGTATCAAAACCCTTTTTCTCTCATTGAGTATCAGAATACTTTACATTTTTCATTTAGAATCATTCCATTGCTTCAACAAGCTCTTCTTTACTTGAACAAAGCCGACCCCCACAGTTCTGAGAGCCCTTGTTTACCTCAGACTGCAGGGATCTTAGTACTCTAATATTGCAGGAAACTTGTGACTTTAGTGTTTGGCCAGTACTCAGAAATTACCTGATGATTCCTCTGGCAAAAATGTTTTTCTGACTATCTTGCCATGCTTGTAATTTTCCCAACCTCTGTCCTACCTACAGCTGGAAAGAGTTTCTGGATAGCACAAGAGGGGACATCCTGCTACGTAAAGTGTAGGGTCCGTGAAAAGAGGAAGTGCCGCAGTGAGAGGGATTGTCACAGTGGCAGCAACATTGGGCTCAACATTAACAATGATTGTGAGGCTGGCGCAGGCCCGGGGAATGGTTCATTCTGTTGTGCATAAGATCGCTATGAGTCAGCTCTAACTCGATGCCATAGTGACCAGGAAATTCCAATTTCTGTTTGAAATGGAGTGGGCTTAATCCAGTAATTTCCCTCCTGTATTCCCAGGGTGAGTAAGGAGTTCAGCCAGGGACAAATAGAGTAACATTCTCTGTTAGTGGGTGGGACGCCAACATGGGGAGTCCTTACTTGGACCTGCAAGTCAGGGACCTGGTTGGTATTCAAGACATTTTGCCTATGAAGGTTGTTTTGGGTAGTGATTGAAGACATCCCCAAAGGAGACCTGGTTGTGTGCTTGTGGTTGTTGTGTGCCTTTGAATTAGTTCTGACTCATAGCGACCCTATACAGGGTTTCTGAGGAATCCGTTGATGGGTTTGAACCACTGATTTTGCAGTTAGTAGTCCAGTCCTTACCCTACGGCATGTTGGTTGTCTGCTACATGACAGGCCAGTGGTTGACCGTGCCACATTTCCAGAGGAGAAACATGTGCCGATCTGCTTCTGTAAACTTCTGTGAGCAGTTAGTTGTGCTGTGTGCTGGAGCTCTGGTTATGTGGTGGGTCCGAGTTGGCCTGCTAACGTTAAGATCAGCAGTTCGAAACTACCAACTATTTCAGTGGAGAACGATGAATCTTTCTGCCATGAAGGTGTCCAATTTGCCAGTTTATAGCTTATTGCCCAGTTCGGTTGATTATACTATTGCTTTAATAAATATCTTTTATTTTCAATGTTCATAGAAACTCGTTTTACTCTGAAAAACTAGATGGGGAGGACACCTCAGAAGCCTTTTGCCTGACAATTTAGTTCACTTCCAGCATCTCTGGTGGGTTCCACCTATAAGGATGTTAATTTTTTAATGCTTCAATTAAGGACATTTTAAATCCAGTCAGTAGAAAAGTACAGTGAAACCCATGAGCCCATCAATAGATTTCAGCATGTGTTAATTCATAGCCAATCCTGTTTTACCTATGCTCTCTCACCCCTGTGTGTGGCTACACTTTGAGAATTGTCACAGCTCACTAATGTCTTTCACAAAGGATTTTGTCACTGGCCTATTTGGCTAAAACTCTGGCATTTCACAGTTAGCATTGAAGAGTAGGCCCTTTTGTCACTTTTAGCAAGGTCTACAAGTTTGAACTTTGTGAGGCTCAGTTTATCACAAGATGTAACATACTGGACTCTTGGGAGGTAAACTTGTGCAGTACCTGAAATTGTTTCTTTTCTGAATTAGAGTTTAGTAAGTGTTAGTACTATTTTGTTTTCTTTATAAGCATGCAATTTGTAACCTTGAACTAGAGGGGAAAAGTGAATTCCCTACTCAGCTGGTGTTAACAGCAGACTGTATTCTGACATAAAAGCATTGGGCTTGGTGTACTACAAACTGTTTCCACTCTTCCCTTGTATGATATCTGAGGGGTTTTTTGTCTGCTTGCTTCTTAAGAAGAACCTGTGTGTTTGAAACGTGTTAATTTCTATCCTGCTATCTGAGCTCTGGTAGCGTAGTGGTTACGAAT